GGGAAATGACAACCCTAGAGATAATATCTGAAAATTTGGAAAAGGTGGTTGAATAAATGGCCCTGCAATCCTATCAAGTAAGATGTCCTTGTTGATTTTGATTTTAAGTATATCTTGCTTCTCCTTAGCTGACATTAAGTTAGGACTAACTCGGTGTCTTCTGACCTCTTTAAAGCCGATATAAAATCCCTTTGAAAACCCTTTAAAAACTGACCTTGTTGGCCATTGCTTCCTTTATGTGCCCCTTTTTCGGGACGGGGGTCAGCAGCTGCTTTACATGTCATGGCCTCCAAATACAAGTCATTGTTGGTCTGATCATAGGGTAATAAGTGAGATGCCCGACTCTATTTTCTAAAATTTGAGTCATAAATGATCGCCGCTTGGTATCTCGCCATCAACAATGGTAACAAAAAATTGTAATGCTGCATACCATTGTTCCATAAATTTGATTGTGACTGGTCGAGACTTTGGAACCAACGCCAAATCTCGAAACTCTCTTGATTCTTATTTTGCAAGAGAGCCCCAAAGTCCACATATTGTTCTGTCCATAATTTTTGTTTAACTCTCATGTCAACATTAACCTCAAGAAGACGGTCGATTGAGTTTATTTGAATAGCTGGCGTACCTGTAACTGACAGGAAGGATTGGCTTAAGTATAGTTGAAAAAATGAGGCGGTATCCTCAATAACATTCAATGTTTCAGATCTGCATGGCCACACAGCTATAATGAGAATGATGTTTCAAATTGTGAACCCACATGTATCAATAATACTTGAACATAAAACCATGATATGAGCATGCAGAAGCCAGGACTTCTAACTGCCTATTCTAAGACTAAATTAATAAAACTGCTCATATCAATCAATCACTTTATCGTGGCATGCTCATATTAAACACAGTATAATAACCATTGTCCACAAACATATCAACCCTTTGGCCTGTGAAGAAATTTTCTAAGTGACGCTTAGCTAGATCATATATGCATACGCATGTGCGTCCTGTTCGCCTTGCTCATTGTGAAAATATATTCTAGGGTCAAAAGGAAGAATCCCAAAATAAACCGTTACCACCAACATAAATGTAATAAAATGCTTTCTGTATTTAATTGTCGTTTTTGTGAAATGTTAACAAACTCTTGGACATTAAATATGTCTACAAACCCCAGCGACAGTTTGAGGATGTAACTCGATAATCAGTCAAAACAAAAAGAAAAAAGAGAAAAGAATTGCCGTTTTCAATTGATGCTCAACACCAACCAGCTACCCTACTGTCAATTCACAAATGTCTTACCCTTCCTTTCTGTTAAAACTATTTATTATTCGTTATCAAAACATTTTTTGTTTGTTAAAAAACGACTGTAGTGAATGTATCAGTAATCAACAGTTATTTTTTATTTCAGTAATAGCGTTAATATAGGCTTAATCTATTGATATTGAACATCCATCATTCTATTATATGATTACACAGGGAGACCTCTTTACATTTGCATAGGCTTTCATTTCACATTGTAGTACATGACTGCCGATTAGCGCAAATAACAAATCTCGTAATCTATATCTCTCAAGCAAATGTTGATAAAGCGACAACGTGCAAATCCGAAGGCAACCAAGCAACATTAATATCTCCCACCTTGACATCGTATTCTCACTCCCTCTGTGTAGTATTCAGGGCCTCGACGTTGTATTCTGACCTTCTGGTATCGTTGCGCATAGTTTTTTTTTCTTTGAATACAACTGGTTAGATTGATTAAACATAACAAACTTATTTTTAACGTTTCACAGATTCAGAGATCATAACCAAGCCGCATTATGATGGAGTGGGCATGAATTGAGGAGAGAATACAATGCATAGACAATAACAATGTGTACGACTATTGCATCATTTTGTAGACTGACCAAAACAAATGAAAACAGCTCATGATTGTCTTCCCAGGTATTGTGCGATTGTTTTCCTGCGGTTGAGTTGAGTAAAAAAAAATACCAGTAAGCAGCGGCTCACAAAATGTATTCCCAACTTCGCGATCAGGATATGGTTGGTAAATGTGACCTTTGACCTTCAAAACTTCATTATCACCTGTTCTTAACTAATGGAGTACAATTCTTTCATTGTCGTTTACACTTTCTAGATTGTTGGCAAGCTATGATATAGACTAGATATACTATTTTATCACATACCTGTTGAATCTTGTTACAGTAATACAAGCAATTTTCAGACCATGAAATACAACGTTTTATATTGCACATGTTCAATACGGAATGTTGTATTTACCTACTAGCCGGAACTGCTTTTTATGGGAATCCCTTTGTCATGGCGAACAGAAAAGTTCCCGGTATTTGTAAAAAATATCAAAGTTTATAAAATCTTTGTATCAATCTCTACCAAATACGGAAGGTATGTGATAAAAGCAAGACCACACATTTGTGTTTTTCTAACGGATCAGAAAGCACTCATTTATTGCGCGGACGTAGATATTCAATCGATGCGCTCTGCGCACTCGTGAATATATTCGTCCGCGCAGAAGTGCAAGGTTTTATTTTTATCTGCAGTGGTTGACCCAGACTATGCCTTCTCACCTGAGTACGAACTTGTTTCCTTGCAACAAGTAAATTTTGGGAAGATATCTAAATCACCCCGGCATGAGACGTATGTTAAGTCACTGATACACCTCTGCTGTGTGAGAGTGGCAAAAATACAACTCATTGAGTAGTGAAGATGACGGAAACTCTTGCTTGGGGAGATTATCTTACGATTGGAATATACTTTGCTATTGTGCTTGTCGTCGGAATCCTGGTACGGTATGATTACCCTGTTTATTCATTATTTACTGTTTCCCTATATATACATGTATATCCAGAATACAGGTTATTACATTACAAACGGGATGTGTTTCTGTGTTCTATACATATTTTTGTTCATTATGATTGATGCTACCCGGGGGCACTATAACATATAGTATGTTTCTTTTGCCTGTATCACCGCTGTATCTTAATATTTTTGATTCTGAATTACTAAATTTTAATCTCGATGATTTCCATTCATTACCAATTTTGACATTACAGGCCTGTATTCCAATTAAAGCACTTGTGTCGTGATTTATTATTAATTATACATGTACATACTAACTCTGTACTCTGTAACAGCCGCGTACGAGACCAATCATACATATTACTAATATACAGTAGAAAACATTATATAGTTGTATATATCATGTTCTCTTATCAGTTTGGGTAAGGCCACACTTAACATTGACCAGAAGGAAACTACTATTCGGAAGAAAAAATATATTTACACGGTCGCGTTTATTCCAGTGTTAGCTGGTGAACAATTTGAAAAATGTATAGGTCGGAATGAATATTAGAGACGGAGACCGTGAGTGTGCTTTGGTTTGGCACTTTACCAAAAATGAAGTAAATGACATCTTCTCAACACTAACCACCACAGGAAAGAACAGCAAAACTGCCGTTGAAAAATTGAAGAATTCGGCAGCAAAGAAAAGAAGTTTCTAAATGTATTCAAGCGAAACAGATGTCCGACTATTGACAGCGTTCTCACCAAACTGGACAAAATAGTAAGAGTCAATAGTAACACCACGACACGGATCTTTATGCGAAAATAATCCTGGCCCGGAGTCTAGAATTATTTGACTGTTCATCTCAGGATAATCAGAGAACAGATCAAACAAACAAATGAGAATGCACAAACGTTGCCAAAAATATATACAAATCAATAGGACGTTGGTAAACATCAGGAATGTGTTGCAGCTATCAGGAAGGTTCCCTCGCAAGGATAAACACTATCCAGTAACAAATAAAGGTATGCCATTATTCTGGTGAACAGAACAGTTACTTATCGAAGGGTTAGGGTCGTTATATTGCAAAGATTGGTCAATCAAGTAGAAGGTAAATCGTGTCTACAAAGCACTGAAAATCCGTCGGATGCCGACTATGATTTCGGCCCGTTAACAAAGTTTAATACACATAACAGTATATATCATAAATACTACCGACGGGATAGCCCTCGATTTTCTCGTAGACAAAAGGGATCAAACATCAATGTTAAAGAGAGAATAATTTACAAGTAAATGAGAAAACAAGGAAAAAGTTACAAAACATCAAAAAGAGCTGTGTAAAAAATACACATTAATTTATGACGGTATCTGGTTTTCAGAAGACAACCCGATGTCAATGCACAGTGATAGCTACGTACAACATGTGGATTTATTTAAAAGCGTTTATGTACTCGGTAATAATGATCTATACACAGCTTCCCATGCAGTTGACAAACAACGCACGTAACATCACAACGTTTTAAACACACATCGGAATCTAAAGGTAAACTAAAAGTTTTGGTATGTCATCAGCTGCAGAAAACTTTTCAAAGAAATATTAGAAAAAAAGATCATTTGATCATTATTATTTTGTATTTTGATGTTGTTGTCAGTATATTACATTTGATCACTATTACACACATGCAACCACAAATCTATATATGCATATATATAAATTGTTCAATCTCTCAGAAATGATACATGTAATTACATCAAATGTCATACAATAATAAAAACAGTTTAACATCAGCACTTCAACTTTGATGTTAGTTGCTAATTATAAATATAAATGCATACATAAACAGAAATGAGTATCATATGGTGTGGTCTTGTAATCAAGTAGTATACAAGACCACTGTTGTGGAACAGTGAAGACAGAAGGGATTAGTGGTGCACATATTTGCTAGCATATGTCACCCATACCAGACTACATACATGTAAGCACCAATTATTTACCACATCATTAGATACTATCTTATATCACAAAATTCCTTTCATGTAAATATTCCAATTAAATGAGCTCCTGATCTACAAATCCTGATTTCTTCCAATATACTAGGGAGTCGCAGTAATGGCTGTGTTAACATGAAAACGCATGCTTTACCTTCCAAAATCAAACCGAAAATAAGGGAACTTGTTTGATAATAAGTGCTATTTCTAAAGTAGTGCCGAGCAGACTTTAACTGAATAGTTTGTCCACCTTTGATTTTAGGATAACTGCATTTTATCACTACAATCATGGAAATATACAGGCCCTATTATGGCCAATTATAGGCAAATTTCTCTCTCCGATTTTGGCATTATTTTCCTCTTTTTCAGTTAAAAATTCCCCCACATGTAACTGAAATACTACCACATGGATATCTGTCATGGTTCTATTGTGTTTATATTTCAGTCAGTTAGACGACAGAGTGATCTATTTCATTTTTCCTGTGTTCACGTTTTCACTGCTGATGTTTTATGACACTGTTAATGGCTGGCTTTGTTTACATTATATTATTCGAAGCGTCCATAATTGACAGATAGAACCACAAATTAAAGATGTCGCCAATGCTCCCTCCATATTTTCCCCTAGTTAAAACTTTATAAGCACCTTATAATAATATGTACGAACAATCATGTACTTAACAATCATGTACTTATGAATAATGTCATATATGTTTTGTCTTGTATTGTAAAAAAAGAAAAAGGAAACAAAAAAAAAGATCATTTACGAGTTTGAAATGGCAAGGATGAAGGTTGAACCTATAAAATTTGAAGACAAGGAAGACAACTCTTTACTCCAACAAACACAACAGAGGAACAAAGCTTTCTCGAAATGACAAACAATGTTTGACGATTCATACCAAGCAACAAAAGAACGAAGCCATGGAAATGGACCGAAAGTCGGCAAAAGCGGTTAAAAAGCACAGAATGGACCTTGCTGGTGATACAGTATCGCCATATCTTGATAAGACGAAGCTGATTAATATAATCTGTTAATGGATGTATGACGATCTAAGGGAGACACATTGGGAAAGACACCATCTTATCTCAAGAAGAAAAACATAATCGCTAATGCAAGCCAAGCACCCACAGATGTTGAACAACGATATCCACAGAGAGCAAGAGAGGCACTAGCAATAGTGTGGAGTTGAACGCTTTTTCATTTCTATAACACATAACACTCATCAATGATCATACACCATTAGATGTAGATCAAGACTCCAACAAAACTATTTTTATACCACTGTCATAAAATCCGTTAAATCGTTATTCTGACGCTCTGGATATATAGTTACCTAAAACGTAAGTACATGAACAACACTATTGATATATTAATTACTTTATAAATATATATCAATCATTGTATTTCAGTCAACATGTCGACCAAACAGAGGGAGTGCACAAGGTTATTTTCTGGCTGGCAAAGACATGCACTGGATACCGGTATGTTTATTTACATGTATATATAGAGAGAAATGGATTGGATGCATAGTTATTTCATAACTTTATAGTAATGATACCAGTTATGGGTACTACAAGCTATCATCCTGAGTGATTCAGACAGTGAAATAACAATCTAAGGTAATTATTTGTGTTACCTTTAGCTGATTCCAAGGGTTGATATGTCCCTGTCTACACAGAACAAAATGGACTGATTAACTTTCTCCTTCTTTTTCTTATATTTAACGTATTTTGTAATTGTAAAAAATGGAAGTGATTATGTGACATTGATTAAGGTTCATAAAGTGATGACACGATGATGACGTTTGTAATATTAATAGCACGTGTAAGATTTTGTTCTCAATATAAGGAAATGTATGTTTATTAACATTAATTAACATGAATATGAGTCATTGATAGTGATAATATCTCAAATATTTCATTACAGAAAAAGTGTTATGAATAGAAGATGTCTATGATTTAAGCATATTTACAAATAATCACAGTATTATTGCTTTGACAATGTATTCCATAAAATTCAAAGTTTGAATTATCATGTTCTATAGATTGGAGCGTCCATCTATGCCAGCAACATAGGCGCTCCGATATTTATAGGTTTGGCAGGTTCAGCAGCAGCCTCCGGTATAGCCGTCACGATATATGAATGGCATGTAAGTTTAAACACACGGCAAATATAAACTACACATACAGCCCCCAAAGAAAATGCATCGACATATTTATATTTAAAATGAAGTTAAAACCAAGATGTGAAACACTACCTTACTTAAGATAACATCTTCACCCAGTTGGGAAGTTTCGTAAAGGTGTCATTTAGGGATCCCCATATATTTATCATTAGTCTGCTGTATAACCGAGTTACTATGTAATGAAGCGGACGTAAAACAAGTCAATCAATAAATCTATCATATCTTGCGGAACAGTTTTATGGAAAAATAATTAATGTGAAACTACTAGAAATTGACATGGTACATGTTTATATTTAAGGCCGGGATTATCACTCTGTAGTACATGTATATAGTAAAGGCCGGGATTATGACTCTGTAGTACATGTATATAGTAAAGGCCGGGATTATGACTCTGTAGTACATGTATATAGCAAAGGCCGGGATTATGACTGTGTAGTACCTCAGATCAATGTAACTTTATGTTGCGAGGTACCTGATCATCGGTAGTTTACTTGCTGTATGTATAAAAAAAACAAAAAAACTGCAGCGTAATTTTGTCAGCAGTTAAAAAGAGATCGTTAAAACCTAGTTTAGATACATGTGTAACTATAACCATTCCCTAATAGGTTCAGTTATAAAACGAGGCCTTTTATATGTAAATACATTGACCTCAATTGATCAAGGATAGGATTATCTATTTTGACGTTTTCCTTCTTGGCTCCTAGGTACAGAGCATGTCGTAAACGTTTAGATTAAAAGATTTTTTGTTCTTTCCGCGAAAAATCAGTCTCCTTTATATGATATATATGTATCTCAATTTCATGAAATTTTGTTAAATCTAGCACTGGAGGTCTCCTCTTGGTTTTTGTTTTATTCCTAAGATGTAGGGTTATAAATTGGAAGTGTATAAGCTGTATCTATATCATATTAACAAAAAAACACCTAATGTATCACATTCAAATATACACTGATATCTGTTGTAAGGAAAAATCAGATTTTTTAAGAAATGATTAATCTGTTTCTTTCTAGGCTGTGTTCTTCCTCATTGCTCTTGGCTGGGTATTTCTGCCCGTGTACATCTCCTGTGGGGTAGGTTGTATGAATGGAAATCGATTGTCAAATAGTATTAATCCGATTTTAATATAAAAAGACTGATATAACGAGCCCTGGTTCTGCTTAAAGAGGCAACTTACAACTAGTTTCCACTGTGCAATGTTCTTTTATGGATAATATGTACTATATTGATGTTTTCAAAACAGAAACGTTGGCCCAATTTGTGTTCAGTTAAAGGCGGTTTCTCGATATGATGTAATATGAAAAGGCAAAGCCTTAAAAGAGCGTAGCTTTTGTTGATCTCTGATATTTACTGATTAAGAATACAACTTTCAGAATGAGATAAGATAAGCTTTATTTAAAGTCGGCTAGTCGAGGAATAACACTAAAACACAACCTCGAATGAGATTAAGACCGGCATAATAATATGGAGACCGGGCCAAGTTCGGCATTTTCTTTTATTTAAGTCCGATCTAGTAAGTATGGCAGCACGTCCGTTTTTGAACATTATTTAACTATCCTGTCGGAAGATCAGATGGCCGTAAGTTCGGCCCCCATTGGAATCAGCTTAATAATGACGTCATAAAGCATGCAACGTCAGATTTTATCGCCAATTCTACGAATTTGTATGTGTTACATGGGCCGAACTTGCCACGGTATCATTGGCCGAAACTGTCCGGGCTTAAATTGATATTTCAATAAATTCTTATCGTACAGCAATATGCATGGAAGTGAGTGATTGGCTTGGCTTTAATGTATTATCATTTGGAGCTGTCAGTGTCTTACAGGTTTGACTGTAAAAAAGTAGCAATTCCGTTTCAAAAATTTCGCATAACTAGAAGCGAGATCATTTTTTTCTTTCTACCCTCTCAAAAGTAAATTTCTTCTGTTAAGTCATTTTACATTTGAGTTGTCCTCGCCATTTGTTCGTCGTTGAATGCCCAGCTAACTAAACTGCTAAGATCCTTAAACTTGTAATTATTAAAAACTATTACAAAAACTATCAGGGATGGCTGAACTTGCCCCGGTCTCCCGTATGTAGATTTTTTATATCATTGATGATTCGTAAAAATGTATTCACAATATAATTTTTGCATCAATGACGCCATTTTCTTCCACTCAAACTAAAGCAGATATTTGTTCTTGTGCGTAACGTATATGATGGGTCGGTGGCGCAGTGGATAGTGCGCTCGTCTTCACCAAGATGGCCGGATTCAATCCCGGTCACCTGCCCGACCACGCGGATTTTCCACGGATACTCCAGCTTCCTCTATAATATTAAGAATTAAACCCTCTGCGTGCTTCCGTCAGGGCACAAAAAGAATGATTGAGATAAGCTGGGGGAAAACTGTTTGGTAATTACTATAGAGATGTTAGTTAAAAAATGAAACTAAAAAAAGAAAACATTGTACTACTTTGATGTGACTGAAATTGTCTTGATATGGATATGTAGTCTAAAATTACTGTTCCATCCTGAAAAAGCCGGATTGAATTTCAAATTTTGTAACTGTCACCGAGGTTTGACAGGTAATGATGCCAAATAGATATAACAGTTTTTGCCTGTAACTAGTTATAAATCGGCACGCGTTGTGAAAAAGTAATACGTTGCTGTAAAAGAGCGTTGTACTTGGGTTGGTTGTGTGGAAAATTATTATTAATTTCGTCATAAATGCATTTTCCATTGATTCTTTTATGAGTGGTGATGCATAAATAATGTAAAGACTATACACGACTTTTTTCAGTCGTCGCCCGTAGTAATTATTATACTCGCTAGGTGCCGCTAACATCGTGCCGCCATTACAGAAGTGATCATACTCATAAAGGCGGGCAATTCGAAAAGCAAAACAAGGTAGCATTGATATTTCTGTAAAATTCACTGGAACTTCACTGAATTTATAATCACATGCGTAAAGTTGATAATGATGAATTCAATGATAGAGGCTGTTGCAAAATCCATCACATCAAAGGATGTTAAATCAAACGAGTGGATCGATGACATGCGCGAGTGGCCGGAGATCGAGTATGGCGATATTTACAACTATTTAGTTTTGAGTCGATCATGTGACGGAGAAGAGATAAGGAATTTCAAGTCTATGGACAGTTTCAAATACTTTAAGAGTGGTGCTGTTGATAAGATTTTACACCATGTTACTGTTGACGGCATTGTTATGAAATGTAATGTACGACCATCACAGAGAATGAACAATGAGTACCACCATCCGTGGATTGTTTGCGACAGTAACGGTACAATCAACACAGGGGGCTGTTCGTGTATGGCAGGTGTAAGTAAGACTTGTAGTCATGTAGGTGCGTTGTTGTGGAAAGTGGAATATGCTGTCAAAACAGGACTTACTGGTAAGAGTTGCACAGATGTTCAGGCTAAGTGGAATAAAGGAACGACAAAGAACATTGAGCCAGGTCCTGTTGCAGACATGGATTTCTCCAAACCAAAACGCAATAAGACGGACGAAGATGACATCGACCAGGAATTAAACTATACTCCTTCTTCTTTTCAAACCTTCTCAAATCATTCAGAGTTTCAAAAGTTTATTGATAGTTCAACATCAATGCCTTTATTTTACATCAAGGATTCACTTATCAACAAATCTGCAAGTGCTGACATCACCAATACTTCAATATGTGCTTCACTTCTCCATTCTGACCATGATGTTGATTTATCCTGTGAAAAGTGTGCACAGTTTTACAACAAATATGTGAAGCTCACACCTCATCAGATATCATCTGTGACACACAACACTGTTTCTCAATCCCAATCCGAGCTGTGGCATGATAGCAGAAAACTGAGAATTACTGGCAGTTCATCACATAAGGTACCAATTCGGGAAACAACAAATCCAGACAGTTTCATAAGAGAACATGTTTATCCTACCTTTAGAGGCAATATTTACACTAGGCACGGACAGGACGGAGAGGTTAAAGCTAAACAGCAGCTGAGGAATGATGGGGACATCATATCAGATGTAGGAACAGTTATATCCCAAAGTGAACCATGGCTCAGTGTATCGCCCGATGGAATTATCCAAACTCCTTGTGACCACTTGTTGGAAATCAAATGTCCATTTCTTAAAGATATGTCTTTAGACACTTTGTTAACTTCTGGAAAGTATGATATTGTTAAAGAAGCCGATATGTATGTGTTAAAACCAAATGGACCCAGGGGCTATTACCTCCAAGTACAGTTAACAATGTATGTAACTGGATTGAAACTTTGTAAATTTATTGTGTGGTCAACTTCAGATTATGTAACTGTAAATGTGACATATGATCCTGATTTCTGTAAAAGATCTATTGCAAGACTAAAGAACTTTTATTTCACTAAATTCTTGCCTAGAATTGTTGA